AAAATCCTCAATAATGCTTCCAAGCTTAAGAAGTCGTGTCCTCGACACATAATCCCCTATCCGTCGTCCATTATCCCTTAAGATATCTGCTTACGAACTCAGGCATCCTCTTAAACGAATTAATAATTCATCAAGCCACTCGGCTTGTAATGTAACTTGTAATGTTGTGTGTTAATGTGTGCGTTCGGCGGGGCATTCACGATACATATACGCATTGAAATACAACACGTCCGTTCCGTTCGCGGGTTGCTCGTATAATGACTTTTTTGTCCGAGTCAATGTTCATAGGCCGCCATCTTGTGCCCCTCAAACCGAATGTGATAACAGTACTAGCAGCGATAAGCAGCGTTTTTTTATAATTGAAATGCCAAATAAACTTACGGCTCACCTGATTGTAAACAGTAATCGTGACTTATATACATGAACAGCACGGATGTAACATTATCATGTGACACCCGTTCATACATTGTCATTCCAGAAGAATGAAAATCAATGCCTCTTTCTCCTATAATCTGACTGTTTAATTGCGCGTTACAACCAAAACACAGTATACAAAATATATCTCTTTAAATGACAGAAATAGTCAAGACAGAATACTTACAGAGAAAAAGGTCACTATTAATAGATATTCTTAACAGTAATACTAATTATAATAACAATGATATTAAGTGCATGTAAATGTAGTTGATAACTACCTTGACTTACACTCAAAAGGTCATGAGTTCGAATCTGACCGACACCAAAAAAATACTTAGTCTTAATTTATATTTCTGACTGAACTCCGGTATCGGAAGATTCTTTATAAAAAATACATATACGGACGAAGTCGTAAGCGGCCGCTAGTTGTATATAATAGAGGGAATAAGCTAAATGAGGTACATACATTGGAGTTAATTTGCCATAATTATATCCATGTCTATAGACATTAGCTATTTGCACATCAGCAATGCAGAACCTTTGGTCATGGATTGATCAATCATTCGAGCATTACATTTATAATTGATCAATAACATAAATAGAAACATGTTTATTCATATATAGACATAGGTATGTTTAGATATCTATATGAATAAACATATATTTATATAATAAGACTAAATAGGTATTTAGTTGCAAGCAGAAATATAGCATTATGGAATTCATTTTTTTAAGTAAGACGAAACATGCAAACACTCAGCTTACAATGAAAGTTTTGAGGCTGAAATAGATAAGAGAAAAATAACGAAACAGATGACTTTGTACAAAGTGTATAGCTATTAATATTATGTAATTGAGAAATAGTAATAAAATATAGCTTTAATTTTATTCGGAATCAGTCCCCTGGTCCAAGAAAATGATGCAGAATGTCACTATATATTTTCCCAGGGGAAAACCGGGAGATACATACTTTTCCTAGCTAATCTATTTTACGATTGCTGTCTAGACCGAGCAATACGAGCCAGGACTAAACCATAACTTCAACTGAACGGTGTGTAGTTATTTTTTAAGAGTATTGAACTCGAGATAATTTGGGGAAAACGTGAAATTCCCGATTCATTTGTGGATTGCTGGATTTTGTGGGTTGTAATAAAATTGTAAATCCTCATTTACATCTATAAGTTTTGTTACATATGTACTTCTAAATCACTTTAGAACGCACTAACTATACACCCAACCCCTAAAATTGCAAGTACTTTTGCAGGTAGTATATCATTCATTCATTCATAATTTAAGAGTCGTGCTCTTGTCGGTGGAGATTTGTCATTTTTCACGATCTTTCTTCTATCTCTTTAGTTATTGATACGACATGACTACAATTTTTGCCCTAATCTTGATATAGCTTGATATACTGTATTTTGGTTTCATAATCATCAACAACAACAATGAATTAATATATCATATTGATATTTATGTACATACAATAATGAACAATTTCCGATTCTGAAATTAAAAGAACATATTTCAGCGTAGATATGAACTTGTAACTATTATAAGCAACTTACCATAGTGAGTGTAAATAAAATTATACAAAGTAAACTATAATTTGCGTGCTTACAATTAAAAAAAATATACATTGCGGTGTATGGACGTGAATGGCCAGCTTTAGTTTCACCGACATCAATCAATCACCGTCAAGTAATATTAATGTAATTCTTGTTGTTAATACGTGAGCTAAGTAAATATTACAACGACGAAATATGATCCGATCGATTTGTTACCAATTCATCATCATCACTCAATATATCCATCATCCAATGATGAACTTATGTCGCATACGGAACTATGTAGGTTTTTAGCCACATTCATCTATCGAATATTCTGAACATTTTAAAAATAAAAAATCGAATAAAAAGGAAAGAAATCTAGTATAATTAATTAATATTACTATTATCATAACGTAACCTGATAGAGTAAAATACTATGGCAGAAATGTTTACAGTCATAGGAATGACGCTATTCCACTGCTACCGTTCCTTAAACATATCTACTTTATTTTGTACTCACGTAAATTACATTGCAGTGGCAAAAAAATATATATTATAATCTTTATTACAAGCATAATAATATATATTACAATGTAAGTTTGAATCCTTTTTCAATTTGAATTGTTTTTTATTTACGTTATTCTATAATTTTGTATATTATATGTAATATAGACCCATTCGCACGACTCGTCTGTTCCGTTCACCGGCTGCTCGGTATATATGCCTCTTTGTCTGAGTCACTGTTCATATGCCGCCATCTTGTGCCTCAATACTGCCGAAAAATCGGAAGTATAATTTTAACTTCAATTTTTATATATTTAAATAAGTAACATAAACTAATAGCTATAGCAGCAGAATGTTTAATTAAATTAGGTCACGTTGTTATTCAGCAATTTTGAGGAGTTCTTAATTAGAAGATGAAATATTTAAAAAAATATTCATCGCAATCTGAGGTAATTTTGAAACTAATTTCTGGCAATACGTTTACATTAAAACCAGTGTTGTTATTATTAGATTGAAATATAATTAATAATAATAACTGAACCATTGATACAGCGCCATCTAGTCTAAAGCTAAGCATAGCTTGTTTTAGGGGTAGGCAACTGATAGAAATACTTATACATTTTGTAAATACATGTATAACTTATGTAGTAAATACCTAACCAATACAAATATTCCGATGAATACAAATGTTTGTACCATGCGAGAAATCGAACCCGCATCCACCAGAAGTGAGACAGTTTACTAAACCACAAAAGCAGGCCGTCGAATTTGATTTTGATTATGATGAATGTTGACAGTGACCTGTCAAAATGAATATTCTTCTAGGCGCAAATAATTATGTGTGTACGAATTTTATGTACCTATTTGTTATGAACGTGTTTTGGCGGCTTAAATTTTTTGGTAGTTAGTAATTCCTATTATCTTTTTGCTGCCTCCTTGCTTTTTATGGTAGATTGGTAATTAGTATGTATTGACGTTCTTTTGAAGCTAATCTAAAAACTACAAAACAAGTACAGTCTGTGGCATTTACGAGCATATTAATATATATGTGACTGTACTTATTAGGTACTAAAAATATAGAGTTGTTCTTAACTTTATTTTTCACAACAAATAAAAAAAGAAACGCCATACTATAAAAGATAATAGTAATAGAGTATAATAAATTGTTATAAAATAACATAATACATGTTTGAGCAGTAAAGACTATATGTTATGTATACTATATGTTGGGTACATATTTAAAAAATCATGTAATAAATATATATTCATTGTATTTAAAAAGTCAAAAATTTGAAACCACTTGCTCGATATTTATGAAGTTGGGTGTACATATTTGTTCTATAAAACATTATATTTTAACGTACAGTATTCAAACAGATACGAATATCAAAATTCTATTATAGCAAACATAAGGATTACAAAATAACTTTTGAGATAAAAAATACATTTCGCCCACTGTAGCGTTGGGTTCTCTTATCTAAAATTAATCCAATAAGGAAAGTTAGTGAAGCTAATATCAATTTGTGATATCAAAAATTTATCCGATAACATCACCTAAATGTGGTTAAACTAAGTCATTAATATTCTAACCGCAGCTTATCTACAAAGTGGATGACTTTGTTTCGATATACCAACTTTTGTGAAGCGATTTGCAGTATTGTTCTTTTTTCTTTACACCAGTACACTTATGGGGATGAGGGAGAAGACAGAAAGGTTTATTAGTGTTAAGAACTATACACATAAGCATTATTACTAGTATCATATTGTCCCTCAGATCGATCCCCCATTACTTCGAACGGGGATCCAAATTTCGACGTTCTAAATCGAGATTCTATCCCTTAACAGTGCCCTCAGAGTAAAGTCGTATCCGCTAGGCAGGAGTTGGCCTTTAATCGCTCTATAAGTTCTTCTGCAGGTTTGGAGTGCCATCTGCACTCGTCCGCTATGGTTCGGTGAAATTGTAAAGTTCAGCTGTGACCAACAGCATTAGAGTAGTCCGAAAAAAAAATGTATTAATCCTCCGATCGATCCCCGTTCAATTCAAACGGGGATCGATATTATAATATTATAGTCCAAGCCGAGACTTACGACTTTAATCTGAGGGCACTTAGCAGTGCCCTCAGATTAAAGTCGTATCCATCAGGCAGGAGTTGGCCTTCAACCACTCCATAAGTTCTTCCACAGGTTTGGAGTATCATCTGCACTCGCCCCCAATCGTAGCGGCCAACAGCAGTAGATTAGTTTATCAAACTAGCTGTTTATTGGTTAAATAGGCGAGACATAGTTACCCACGAAGAATAAGCCAAAATGATGACAGGCACTGTACTATTGTGTAGTAAAAGAAATGCAGCTGTCCGTATGTATGTAACTTACCTTATCACGACTTAACGGATCTCGGAGTAAGACTGAGTGAATAAGCTATCTAAAAAAGCATAATATGCGATGTATTCATCACGTAGTTTATCCATCTACCTCTTAATTCTTCACCTCGTCACCATTACATCATTAAAAAATACCAGTTTCATCGTTTTATTAATTGTCTTTCAATTTTTTATTACTATAATAATTATTTTTTATAAATAATAATATGTAATAAATAGATATAACACTGATAAATATCACAGATGACAGCCCTATCAGTAAATATATTACTAATTCTAGTTCCAGATATTCTGTCCAGGACATGTTGGCTGCGGGCGAGCGCAGGTGTCGCGCGCCGCCGTGACGTAGGACGTGTTCGGTCCACCACACGGCGCGCTCCAGTGGTGTTTGGGGCTGGTCGGCCATCAGGGTACGAAGTTTGGCGATATTGTGACGGTAACTGTAATCAAGAACATTTTGAGATGATGTCCATAGTGTTGTTCATGTATAAAGATTTAAACATATTTCACGCAGATGATAACTTTAAACCATTTTCCCCAAATTGGTGTTCTTCTTTATTTCTATGGCCTCCCGTATCATTCGTAGATAATAGTGGCGATCAGTAGAGAGGACTTTAAGCATATACAACTCTATCCGGTGGTTAGTACCAGCATCAATATCGCTTATAATTTAGTCAGCTTATGATTACGGCTAGCGCAACCTAGTCGTTTATTTACCGTAGAATTTTTTGTGTACATTTTTTATACTTAAAAATATCCGCGTTTTCAGTTAATTAGGTGCCACATTTAAGATGCTTTTGGTATATATCGCAATCGGATGCGTAATTTGTATTGATTTTATATATATATATATATATGTATATAGGACCTATTTTAAAGGACGACAAATAGTAGTAAGAGGTACCGAGGGACTTTGTATAAACTCGATCTGTAATTTTTTGTAGTGCTTTTTTATTTTTTATAGTGGTGGTAATTAAGCATATGGCCCATCTGATAGTAAACGGTTACCGTAGCCTATAGACGTCTGAAATACCAGGGTTATCACCCGCTCGTTGTCAATTACCCTTATGAAAATGGCCATACATATTTTGTGTATTCTTATAAATATATTTAACTAAATTTACCTCTCATCACTAATAGTGATGTTGATGGCATTATAAAATTTATCCTCAGTAAGGTCCTCCATATCCAGCCTCAGTCCTATACCATGACGTATGTATTGTTCCACGTTGTACCACTGGTCTCCCAGCATCGGCATACCAATCAACGGGACCCCGGCGGCTATAGCTTCATCAGTTGATTGCAAACCTCCTTGTGTTACAAATAATAACACTTTTGGATGCCCTTCAAAATGGAAGAAATATATCATTGAATGAAACAATTTATTATTCCTCTCACAGAAAATACAGTTACAATTATGCATAATAAGATAAAAAAAACATAATAATAGACAAGACAAAGAAGTAACAATGGGCGGCCTTATCGCTAAAAAACTATCTCTTCCAGGCAACCTTAGGATGGAGCGAAGTGATTAGATTTGCGTCTGGTAGAGGTGTAACAATGGTAGCAATATTGGAAGAAATGTTATTAATATAAGTGTATTGTATACTAGAATTATACATTTTCGTATTAACGTAAAATGTATCTTTAGTAGTAATAATAATAAGACTCTTCATAGAAATACCTACTAGACCTATATATTTTCAATAAAGACTCTTTATTATAAATATAAGTACAAAGAGAAAACTGCATAAATGTGCTATACAAACGGTGGTCTTGTCGCATAAAGCAATATCTTACAGACTATCTGGAGAAGACACTGCTTTATGCAGGACATCGGAAGTTTTTTTAAACTACTATTTTTTATATAAATTTTTGAAGAATGAATTGTTAAAGAGAAACATTTTATGGCAATTACATATATATATATCTAGGATAATATTGTTAATGTTTCATAAGGGATATTTTTATAGTCATAACTAGAGCCTATGTTTCTAAGGGATTCTGTAGCATTCTACAAGTGTACGAATTTCTAAAACCGATCCAGTAGTTTTTGAGACTATTCGTTACAAACATAAAAAGACAAATCTTCAAAAAGTCACATGTATAAATTCTCAAAAGTTCATCTTTGCTCTACTTCAGATCGTTTGGTTGTTTAACTAATGTTTTTTTTTTTGGAACATATGAACAATAATATCAGTATTTCCACAGATACTATAATATTGTATTAGTAATATTAATATTGTGTACATTTAGTTACTAAGCGGATAACGATGTTGAAAAATCAAATGTAAAAAACCTTCGATTTCTTTTACTGTACTTATATTATTATACATATTGTAGGCGATTCCCACACATAAATACACAGTTTCATAAATTTATTTATAGTTATTTACAAATATTTATTACATACAATTATTTAATAATAATAACCTTAATTATATACAATATACATATACTTATACATAAATATATACGTAATATTTATTTATACTTTATCAATAATAAACCGTACCGGTTCGTCTAGTACAATTGCAGCGTGCAGTGGAAACGCTCAATAAGAGGTTGACGTCACAACTCTTTTGTTCGCTATGTAGGTAGTCAGCGCGCCGAGGAACCGGCCAACAGCGCGAGCGCACATTCAATTCGATATTACCAAACCAGTCGAGAACTATCTATGACGCGGAACGCTCGCTACTCGCTTGATAAATCGGCCGTACTGTAATTGATATTGCTCTGCTTATTCTCATTTATATCACCTTATTCATTAGTGCTTATATTCATTCTGTGCTTATTTCTTTACTGTGCTTGTGACTTTCTTCTCCTTCTACTGTATATACTTTCTTCCTATCTAAGTGTAACTGTGTTTACGTGTTGGGACAATATATACATACATATTTATCAACCGTAAGTCGAACTTTTATTTTATATCTACACTAATAAGAAGCCCAAAATATTATATAGTAGTATTTTTTATACTTCCAACATATAAAAAACTCACTGAGAAGGTCAGACTGCGGCAGCCATTTGGATATTTTGATATTTTTCGAGCGTCCCGGTAATTCGTCTTTGTCCCACTTCCATATTACGTCATATGGCAGACGAGAGAACACATTCACGAGCATTTGTATCTTCTCAGGTGGCAAATGCGATGGACTTACATTCGTACCATAACTTATATATATTACACCATGCTTAGAGGCATCCAAGTATGATTTAAGTTCCTGCAATGAAATAAATTTTCGTAAAATACTCTGCTAATTGAATCATTCTTTTAGTTTGTAATAAGAAAATTCATATTTTGGTTCATAACCTCGATGGTGTGGTGGTGGTGGCGGTCTAAAGGTTTAGCGTACTTCTTCGTTAGGTAATGGTCCCGAGTTCTATCTTTATATAGTACTGACGGTAGATTTGACATATCATAAGAGTCTGTAATAGACCTACATGAATAAAGATATTTTGAATTTGAATAATAATAATAACAGGACAATTCACAGCGCCATCTAGCCCCAAATTAGGCTAGCTAAAGCTTATGTTATACGTAGTAGATACCGGATACATATACATATATATTATTTTCGTAAATACATACATATTATACATAGAAAACACCTAGATTGACACCAACAATCATACTCATAAATATAAGTGTTTGTGCTGCGCGAGGAATCGAACTCGCGACCAACGAAAGTAAGGCAGCGTGTTAACCACTAGACCACCCAGGCCGTCAATATAACACAATAATTAGATTTAATTAAATATTTACATAAAATTATATTAGTTGTCCAATACCCATACTACAAGCTCTGCTTAATCAGCTGTTAGTTAAATGGTACTGCATGAGTTTCAGATATTATTTGTTTATCTATACAATCTACAAAGTACATATGTACTACATTCAATATGTAGATTATGGTCTAATAATCAATATCTGATAACAATGAAGTCTAGAAAATATTGAAAAAATGTTTAATTTATAACATTCGCTAAGAAAATAATTTTGTAAAGTTTGTCTTAAACTCACAATGTGTTAAAAAATCTTATAAAATAACTAGTTTTATTTCTAATTATTTTAAGAAGCTATAATTTGGAATAAATTATTTTACAATGTCAGTATCATGTAAAAAAGGAATTACAAAATTTTATTTTGACCGCACCTTAGAAGAATCGACGACAATAGCTAGTTTCTTTTCCAATTATTTTAAAGCTGTTAGCCTTTAGCTTCACCTTATAAAGAACTAGTTATTTGTAATAACACTCATTAAATTTCATCCACATCGAAATAAAGCAAACGAGGCCAAGTTTAATTAGGATTGCATATTTTATATTGCATTATTCTTAATACCACTACAATATTCAATTAGATTATTGATTTTATAAAAATAATGTAATAATTTTGTTATTTAAATATTCACCTATTCTAATTTCAAATACATATTAATCAGCAGATATTATAATGTACGATTCTCATTGGAAAGAGTTAGATTTCCACAATTACTAGGTTCAAACTACATACCGAACTGACGTTAAATATTAGGTGTCTGTAATATACTATATAAGTCTATTATAGACTGTAATAGACTTACTTGAATAGAGATATTTTGATTTACATCGATACGAAAATTATTTTAAAAAGTTAAGTCGTAAAATAGATTCACAAACAAAGAATGTTAAATAAAAATCAGTAAAAATTGCATAATTGAAATATAAAAAAGATTACAACGTAACCAGGAACTATGTTAAAATGAAATGATAATAATAACGTTATAAAACCGTGAAAGCTTCCTCTTATATTCGTATTTAATTAGCTTCTCGGGAAAAAGCATATATTTTTACATAATTAAAGAGTGCAAGATCTACAAATAATTTATACTTATTGTCATCGTGTTTTAATAGTATGAAACTTATTGTATAGAAATAGATATAATCTCTATAGAGGTAAACTTAATTCTAAACATTATTAATAGGCACTTTTTAATTGTACCTTTGGAATCGAAATTAATAATCGAATATTTGCTTTATTTTTTGCAACAGAACTTTATTTTTAATATAAATATAAAAATTGAATTTATCATATTATTAATGGAAATTAATACTCTGTTGATAAAAATGAATACACTTTTGAGAAAACGTTAAAATTAAAAACGTACAAAATAAGTCTTTGTTGTTAACTTTTCTAATTGCCAACAATGGGACATGCAAAATCACAAAAATAAGTTAATTAGGTAGATATTTTGAATACTGGTGCAAATTTAATGGCTCATCAAATATAGTTAGACCTATGATTACAAAATTAATTTCATTCATACTTAAATTATTATTTTTAATGCCATTTTCTATTAAACAAAATGGATTTTTAGACTTAAACTTAAAGATAAACAAGAGTAAATAGACGTACTTTCATATGCATTTAGTGAAAAGCTATTAATTTGAAATTACAAACAGGCACTTTAATATTATGTATTTGTATATGTTATGTTTTAATGAATACTAAATATTACATCGATTATATATTTAATATTTTAATTAAGAAACAGAAATAGTTACCTTTGGTAGTTCTTTTATTGGTTTGCGATGTAATCCTCCTAAATAAATAACACTTGGTGGTACAGGACGATTTGAATCCCAAATTGGATGGGCATTTAAAAACAACATATCTATATTATTGTATAATTCACTAAGAGGCGGAATATTAGGGCCGAAAACTCTTTTCATCATTTCATTTTGTTTTTCTTCAGCGTTATCAAACATATTTATGAAAGAGTAATGATTGTATAATTCTGTTAGTTTATCCCAAATCGTAAGATTACTAAGCTTTTGCCGGAACAGCATTGGGTAAAGTATAGGATGCGTTGGACTTCCAATAGCCTCCATGTTGTTGTACATTGGTAGAAATGAACTTATAAGTATAACTGGGGCTTTGTGTATATACGATAATCCGAGACCAGGTCTCCACAATGATTCAATGAATAGCAAATCAATTTTATCTTTCTTGTTGCCAATTATACTTTGAACTTCACTAGTGTACAATTGTTTTTCCGATATATCTGTTATCAGATTGTATAAAACTTTTATTTGTCTAACAATATCACTTTTCTTTCCTGACGTTGTTTCAGCATTGTAGACTGCCTCTCTCCAGATTGTGTATGATAAATTATGTAAATCAACTTCAGTGAGATTGGCATGAAATTTCTTCTGCGGAGAGATGGGATCGGTCGTGATAACTGTGACGTCATGCCCACGTTTTGCCAGTTCTGCCATCAATGGTTGAAAGACTACCTGATGACTCACGGAGGGTGTGGGAAAATAACCCAATATCCTTGCCGCTTCATTGTTCACAATACAAATTAGAAGAAACGTTGAACACGCTTTTATCATGTTCACCACATTTGAGTGTACACACAGAACTGAGCATTTCAAAACGTATCTCTTATATTAATGTTGTATGTATATCATTAAAACATATATTATATGTAGTGACTTGCGGAAACACGGCAGTCAATGGCGAGTCATTTAAATCTCAATCTTTATTTATTGGGTCATTATTTACTTATATTGTGATTGATATTTATAACAAGTTGCGTGAAATAGTTTAGACGAATTACATAGGATATTATAATTGATAGCTATTATGCCTTTTGGGTTAATTAGTAAATTAGAGTATCATCAGTTAATTGCACGAGTGGCTGTCTACCAACTCATCATGATTGTATACTATTTAATAACGTGGTAAGACAATTGTATGAAATTTATAATACTAATAATAACTAGTATAGTATCCGCTCCCTCTCTTTAATATACTAATATTAAAGAAAGGCAAGGACATTTAGAGAAATACTTTCAATATTTTTAAATACGTGTATTTTTTCTATTATGAGATTACTATGTAAAGTACCTACTTGGTTAATACACAACTCCTTCAAAGTTGTCATCTTCCGGAAATGGATGGGGCGGGCCACAATTATTTTTTAAAAAGTAAAAATAAATACTTTTTCATGCTGTATAGTAAAATATAGAAGAAGTATCAAGTTAAAAAAAGTTACATTAATATGCGACTGCTGCCACATACCATCAATTGGACCACAAAACACACACACACAGATATGTATACATGCCATGTATTAGGGTTTTTTATTGATATTTTTCATGAAAATATCAATAAAAAACCATATGCATTAAAATTATCATCTGCGTGGAATCCAGTCATAAATAAATTCAAGCAAAGTTTAGTAGCATCAACAGTCAATAAGTGTACGGATACCGTGAGTGCTGTGTGTCGCGAACTTTCGTTGAACAATCTAGTGACGGTAGACGAAAAAACTGCTGTCACCTATCTTTTTTTTATTTTTATAACACAGCGGACAAACGAACATGCGACTCACCTGATGGTAAGTGATTACCGCCGCCCATGAGTACCCGCAACACCAAGGGAATTGCAAGTACGTTGTCGGCCTTTTAAAAAGGAATAAGCTCTTTTCTTGAAGGTTTCAATATCGTATCGGTTCGGAAATACCATTGCTGGAAGATGATTTCACAATGTGGTTGTGCAAGGCAAAAAGTTTCTAGAAAATCGCACTGTGGAAGACCGCCATTCATCCAGATGATCAGGATGGTATTTCAGTTTCTGGCGGGTGGTATGGTGGTGACACTCAGCAGCTGGTATTAATCCGAACAATTCCTCAGAACACTCCCCGTGATATATGCGGTAGAAAATGCACAGAGATGCAATATCACGCCACAAAGTCAATGGGTCGAGTCTGTACATTGTGAGTATATGTATCTACATTAACATCGCTGTTACTCCAGTCAGCTCGTGACTACGGCTAGTGCAACCTAGTCGAAAGGGCGAGAGATGGGCCTTAATATGTGTTAAGACCCGGTTAATAATATAAATAATGTATATTAAACACGAAAGTTTAAAAATAAACATTATCTAAGGTTTTGTACATATTCCTTAATGTTTTTGAAAATATTCTCGATCCATATCGTCAATTCGGACATTGTTTAGATTTTTATATAATCATTTTGTAATTTAATATCTACAGAATATTTATTGTTAATAATGAATAAATAAATAAATATGTTCATTAGGGATAACGTAGCATCGGAGCCCATTCAGTGCCAACAAACAAATCTTTTCTCTTTATAATATTATATGTGTATAAAAAAACGTTTCGTATAATAAAGCAGTTTTTGTTGTATACATATGTATAACGTGATAAATTATCGTACATTATTTCTTTGGGATAAAAAATATACAAAGTGTAGTCATATGAAGCCTTGAAGTGGTATTACAAAAGCTAAGTTGTATGTCTTCGTTATTATATTGATGACAGCCGGCTATTAGTATCGTTATTCTTTTTTTGTTACGAAGTTAATGAGGGCTTAGTTCGTTCTATAAATATAATACAATGAATTCAATCAGAATACAAAAATATAAAGAATCAGCGAAATAAGATTTATATTCTCCAAAATGTATTGAAGATGTGTTGTAACTGGCTGATCGGAAATATATTTTTTATTCTAAATTTGTGTTTAAATTTATAGTTATTTTATATCACATTCTTGTTTATACTTCATGTTCTCTTGTCAGCACTTTTCCGAATATATATCTCCGTATACCTTGTCTTTTCTTTTTACCTATACACACATAAAATATAACTATAATACAACAAAATGGAAATAAAATTTTATAAATGTATAAATAACCCTGGATAATGAACACAGATCCATCTAGCCCCACGGTAACTAGAGCATGTGTTAAACGTACTAAACAACTGATATAAATAGATTTTTTTTGTAAATACATACATAATATACAAAAAACACGTAAGCTGATACAAACAATCACACTCATGAATACAAATGTTTGCACCGTGCGAGGAATCGAACCCGTAACCATCGGAAGTAAAAGCAGTATACTAAACCGCTAGACTACCAAGGCCGTCAAAATATTCTATAATTTCATTTTCAAATAAACTTAAAAGCTTTTTTAACAATTTATATATTTTTTATTCTTCCGCTCATTCGAAATGTAGTTTCAGACAAGAAAATAAGCAAAAAACTTGCATAAATTTCTTTATCCAAATATTGTTTAAATATATATTATAAATTTTTAGTTGTGGGTTTATTTATTGTTGACTTTTGATTATCATAAATAGAAATTGTTACAATTTCTAATTATTTTTTAAATGTTTTCAATTTGTTACAATTTATTTTAAATATAAATATTCCACTTGAACTCCTTAAAAATATAATCAATGTGTTAAAAATTAAAGTATTGTTGTTATATGTATATGTATAGTGATTTGGGTCTGGTTTAGAATAGAATAGAATAGAATAGAATAGAATAGAATAGAATAGAAAATCATTTATTCAAATAAACTTAATTTAAGCACTTTTGAACAGTCATAACAATTTGTTTTTTATCTACCACTCATTCGGAAAGCTGTCTCATCACAAGAAGAACAAGCAAGAAACTTGTGTGTTGCTCTTTTAAATAATCCTTGGAAGTTTACATTTACCGAAATGTGTGAATACAAACTACCAACCAGCACTAATTTTTTGGTTCAAATATAAATATACAATAAGATTAAATCAGTCGTAGTGAAAAGAGCAGACCAGTCCCTACAAGCAGCACTCATTTACGAGTATGACGGATGAGCCAGCCATCACTGCGCTCGACCATATTTTAGGTAGACTTTAGTAAAGTAATATAAGAATTGGTAAGTATTAAATATAAGTTGAAAGTACAAACTGAGAGTATTGTATATTTATTTTACAATTAGCTGTCACAACTTCGTGTACATCACAATTGCTCGACATTTATTAGTATATTTCGCGCAATTTACATAATATCTTTTCAAATTTCAGCCTATGTGTTATTCTGATGCTACATTGCGGCAAACTTTCATCAAAATATATATTATATTTATTTATTCTCAAACTAATCCGATATGATGTTATATAACATATACTGACACACAATAAAATGCTGAATAATAAAAAACTACATATATGGATTATTGCCGCTGTTAAATTTATCGCTAGTAAAGATGCTAAACGCCAATAAAAAGATAAATATACGATACATAATCATGTATTTTTTATGTAGGCTTCACTTGGACGAATTCCATGTATTTATGTATCGTTTCTAGGGTTCCGTATATAATTAGTAATTTGTCTCTTATATTTTTGCTGTATATTTACTTCATTATCTGTTACTCAAAGATTTAATTCTGTTTTTTTTATAGACTTCTACACATTAGTATTTTGATGTTTATTTTTTTAACTCCTCGATTTATTCCCAATTGAAAACGAAATTAATAATGCCTTTTTATTACATATTGCAATCTAAAGAAATAACATAAGTGTTAGATTATTTGACGCCCGTGACTCCTGCGTTGTCATTCCTATAAATATGGTATCATGCCTCTATACCTTTTAATTTTACATCTCCTTAAACCGAAACCTATCTAAACAGAGCTGCTTGATGGCAGAAATAGATGGTACAAAAGCATTCATGCAAATGACTTTTATAAACATTTACCTTAGTATTTTTACTTTGAAACTTTTATATCCAAGCGCGAATTGTCACAAATTTCTAGGTAATCTATAATGTACCTCAGTCGAACAAATGACTTACCCCGCTCCATATTAGAATTATTGTACCTTCACTCGTTTTTTTACCGACACCAGAAGATAAAAGAAGATCACTGTAATAAATAAAAAATAAATAAAATACAAGATGAAGCAAGAATCGTGAACGTGTAACATAGGGGAACTAAAATATGATTCAATAAATTTCACGTGTTCTTGAAAAGTAAGTTATCTTGATCTTAGGGCATGCGCAGATAGGCAGTTCTTGGGCCATATTTTTTTCCATCATCTCCTCAACGTATATAACTGATAGAAACAGCCAATAACCATATCAGCGATTGAAAGAAATCTAAACTACCATATCCATAGAAACAAAACATATTTTATCTGTAAACTATGAGTTATTCAATATAACCATTGGGATATATTGATGAGAAACGAAAATTACATTATAAAACAAATAATGAGAGAATAACAAAAGGAAGTATATATACTAGGAATATGTACAAAAGATTTAAATATTGTATTGCAAATAGTTTACTTTGTCTAACTTTTATTTTATATAAATATTACAATTGTATAAAAATTTACAGCATATAGAATATTGTAATTAATAAGTAATTATTATTATAATTCTGAAGAGGATTGTTAGTAATGAGTCCTCATTATGAACTGCTATCATATTTATTTATTTATTTTTATTTATTTAACTTCAATGCACAAAACAATGAGTAGGTAAGTACATATGGCGGACTTAACACTTTGCGGCGTTATCTACCAGTCAA